ATATTTAAATGATTTTTACTCGCTGCGCTATAAGTGATTTTAAAAGTCGTTAAATTGTTGTCTGTATTTGTAAAGAAATTGATTTGCTCTTTAATCATTGTTAGTCTATTAGTGCCATGTAGCAATACTAAATTCGAAATATTCAAAATAGTTAGATATCGCCCAAAACGGCAAAATTGAAAATGTTGCAGGCTCGGTTTGACTTAGCTAGCCTGTCCAATAAACGTGCACAATAAGGATCACTTCCATTTATATGATGTGAAAAGGGTTACGCCTCAACGCGGCAATTTTCAAGTCAAAGGTTATTATTCTTTTGTAAAGAGTTATTTATACGTATAACCATATATATACTTGGTAAAGAACCTGTAGCAATGTTTTAGTATGATAGATTCAGCTTTTTAACACAGTGGCACTCGTTGATAAAAATATTTTTACATCCTGTTTTCATACCCACGGTAACCGTTTTTCGTTAACTGGATATAACTTCGTTCACTTAAGAACACTAAACACTATTTATGTTATTATTGCATTTATATCTGTTAATAAACTGCATATCTGACAAATTTAGTTAATTATATCAGTCAACTCAGATTTATCAGAGAGCTCACCAATACTAATTGTAAAGAGAGGAAGGGAACGGAATATTTATTGTTTGAAAACATTTTTTTTTTAACAATAATGTCTCTTTAAACTGAATAAAAACGATAGGGCTATTTGGGACTATTTCTTATCGATGTGGTCATTGGCTGTAAATGCATGGATTATTGCACGCGGCATGGCCTGCAGATGCCCTCAACAGGATTTTTGTAGCATTTTAAGATTTAAAAAGGACTACATATAAAAATCTTTAACATGATAAACATAATGCATATGCCAAATAAGTGAATTATCTGATATGTAAATAAAGAAGTAAGTCATTTGACAGTTGAAGGATAAAAATTGAATATACTCTTCAAATGTAATCGTAATTATACTTAGCATATGTTAGCTATCAATTATACAATGGACGCATCAGTGTCATAGGGATCCCAGTCATAGATCTTGTCGGTGTTGCTATTACAGATGTTAATGTAAATTTATATAATTATTGATAATCATTGTTATTTCCGTCTTTTTCAATGTTTTGATTCAAGAAATTTGACTGTGATCGATGGCTGTTGGTTTGTAAAATCATTTATCTGTTTACTATTTTCTACTTTGTTTACTCCACATGGCGTCCATTCTCGTTCTTTATTGGCGACGCATGGCTATTTTGGGCCTTTTTGATAAATAGAGAATCTTGAGTAATGCAACTAAGAAACAATACTATATCAGGTTTACACGGCAAAGTTCCAAGTTATATGTAATGATATTTAAAATTGTTCTACACAAAGAACAAAATCTGACTGATGATGAAAGTGCTTATAGTTTAATAAGCATAAAATGTTAACGTCACGTTAATGCGCGTGACAATTAGATTCATGATTTTTAATACCGATACATGTGCATATATAGTACTTCAATTGTGATTTCGTTTATCAAACTCTATACGGCAATTCCAGAAAAAATATATACCTTTTAAAAGACAGAAGAACCTATTCGTCAAGTTAACGAGTGTTAGTGTTTGTCAGTTACTCTTTACAAAATATAGACTGAAAAAATACCTTAAGCTTTACAAAACTCGCGTTAAAGTTTAAACCTTTCCGTAGCATACATGTACAAATTTTTTTTTTATTTTAACTTTTTCTCTCACAGAGAGCACGTATATTTCTTATCAATTTCGCCATTGTGAAATAGAATAAAACACATTTTACTACATAGGGTAAGATGAGCAATAATTTAAACATCTTCAAAACGAAACCAAAATATTATTTTTCGACAGGACTAAATCTACGTGATTTGACATGCACTATTGCGATAAAGTAAGTGTTATTGCTTTAAGGAAAATTCAGTTTTTTCACAATCTCTCTGTGAAAGATCAACAATGAAAAACTAAATTGTAGAAAGAGAACGATAGACATGTTGCTTCGCATTTGCAACGGATTCTAAAATCTGCTTTTAACTGTAGTCCTTTTTTCCGACTTGGAACTGGTGCCAGAATTGACAATTGAAGAAAAATGTAAAATTTATGTCATTCATAATAAAAATATGAACATATTTAGGTAGAGTTTTGCCTTCCGTACTCCCGGTTGATGTAAACCTGACTTTTTAATCATGGCGTAGACCAAATAACGCCAGAAAACGAAATAGCTTGCAACTGAAGCCCGCTCTAATACAAGCATCTTCCAAGGTTATGCAAAGTGTTGGATAAAACGGCATATAAACTGACGAAGATCCAATATTCTGTGGAAAGCTTATATTTTTCCTCATAGACTGGTGCATATCCCAAAGAAATTGGTACATAAACAAAATATTTACGGCTATTTTCTCTTCCGAATCGAGCAATATTTGTCTTGGAAATGATGCCGAAAATGACGTCAATGTCACGAGGTATTGCTACACTGTACGCGCGACACATTGTCTCAATATCGTGATCATTTCTGTGAAATAGTTGTAAAATCCGACTTCAAATAACGAAGTTATGGGCTGGATACGATTTTGCTGCAAGGTCATGCTGAGACCTTGACCTTTAAGGTAGCGACCCAAATGTTGCGCCTAACACGTCGTCTCAATATGGTGATCATTTCTGTGAAATAGTTGTAAAATCTGACTTCAAATAACGAAGTTATCGGCCGGACACGATATTACTGCAAGGTCATGCTGTGACCTTGACCTTCAAGGTAGCCACCCAAATGTTGCTCGCGTCATATCGTCTCAATATGGTGATCATTTCCGTGAAATAGTTGTAAAATCTGACTTCAATAACGAAGTTATCGGCTGGACACGATATTACTGCAAGGTCATGCTGTGACCTTGACCTTCAAGGTAGCCACCCAAATGTTGCTCGCGTCACATCGTCACAATATGGTGATCATTTCCGTGAAATAGTTGTAAAATCCGACTTCAAATAACGAAGTTATCGGCCGGACACGATATTACTGCAAGGTCATGCTGTGACCTTGACCTTCAAGGTAGCCACCCAAATGTTGCTCGCGTCACATCGTCTCAATATGGTGATCATTTCTGTGAAATAGTTGTAAAATCCGACTTCAAATAACGAAGTTATGGACCGGACACGATATTACTGCAAGGTCATGCTGTGACCTTGAACTTCAAGGTAGCGACCCAAATTTGCATACGACAAGTCGATTCAATATGGTGATCATTTCTGTGAAATAGTTATTAAATCCGACTTCAAGTAACGAAGTTTTGGGCCGGACACAATTTTGCTGCAAGGTCATGCTGTGACCTTGACCTTCAAGCTAGCGATCCAAATGTTGCGCATGACACGTCGTCTCAATATGGTGATCATTTCTGTGAAATAGTTTTAAAATCAAACTTCAAATAACTATGTTATGGGCCGGACACGATTTTGCTGCAAGGTCATAATGTGACCTTGACCTTCAATGTAGCGACCCAAATGTTGCTCGCGACACGTCGTCTTAATATGGTGATCATTTCTGTGAAATAGTTTTAAAATCCAACTTCAAATAACAAAGTTATGGGCCGGACCCGATTTTGCTGCAAGGTCATGCTGTGACCTTGACCTTCAAGGTAGCGACCCTAATATTGCGCACGACACGTCATCTCAATATGGTGATCATTTATGTGAAATATTTTTTTAAATCAGACTTCAAATAACAAAGTTATGGGCCGGACACGAGTTCGGGACGTACGTACAGACGGACTGACTGACGGACGGACGGAAAACCCGACGACTATATGCTCCCCCGAAATTTTTCGGGGAGCATAATAAATGGTACGGACGTAATAGAACTTTCGTGTCGTAACGCTCCCCCTTTAATTTTAACAACTGCGCAGATCTAAACAGACATTTGTCTAGGTAGCAGTTTATTCGGCTCTTCTAACGTATGCAGCACACAAAAATGACAGTTCCCTTGAAAACATTTTACGTGTGCGTAAAACCTCGCTTATATTCTCTTAAACTTTTAAATATTTCAAAAACTGAAGACTCATTCTCACAAAAAACATGTGTATCGTCTTGTGTATTGACTTAAGTGATGTCATAAGTGTGTGGAACACATTTTTCTGGTCCTACGGGATCATTGATGCCAGCACTATTAAGTGTTGAGAATTGAGTACCGCTCAAGCCGGTGCTAGGGGGCGTGAGGGATGTTGCACTTTACATTATCCCTCATGTACGGACTCAATCAAACCGAGTCTGCAGTTCTCTTGTAATTTTGTTGTGATTAATGCTTCCGAGGGATCACTTTGTTTACAGATTTTTACATTTAACTCAAGCTCGTGGCCATTTAGCGATAGCAACTTTGATAATAATGGCTTCAGTATAAGTGGACGCCAATTCTTAAGATGATCTATCCCCGTTTTTATAAAGCAACAATATTTTAATGTATGTCTTAATAATTATACATGTATCTGATTCCCTTCGCGATGACCTCATTGTATAATTATGTAACACGTGCCGTGTGTCACGTGACCTAAATGTTACCGACAATACACATGATAAAATGATTTAAGAAATAATATATCCCAAACAGTGATTTTATCGCTCAATAACATCACTGTTTGGAGTTCGGATGCGAGGAATTATATCACGAGGGCGTAGCCCGAGTGATATAATGATGCGCATCCGAACGACAAACAGTGGTGTTATCAAGCGATAAAATCACTGATTTGGATATATTATTTCGATTCTAACACGACATCAACAAATAAATGTTTCCGTACTTGATAGTTAAGCAAAATTGCGCCTGATTTGTTTCCGTACTTATTTTGAGCGCGTCGGATTTTTAGTGGTTACGTCACGTGTATAATGATTACGTCACATGTCTAAATATAGAACGTCAAACTGTGCATCTGTTGCATAATAACACACACTTTCTGTTCTTCTATGTTCAATAGGGAAAAATGCGGGTCGTGTTAGAATAATAAATATAAAAGCAAGTTCAAACAATTTTTAACGTCATATGTACAAAACAATATCAAAGTGATGTCATAAGTGTGTGGAACATGTTATTGTTATGTCAGTGTTCTTATTTATATGCTTCACTGCCGTCCTTTCAGCTTCGAGTCGTTTGTATTTGGGTCTGAAGAAAAACACCAATAACACAAAGGTGCCACATGAAATACAGTTTAGAATATACAAGTTTGAATCTGAAAATATACAATAAAATGATAATCGGTTGTTATTTATCTGATGTCAAATACATATACTACATTAGAAAAGTCAGATGTGTTTATAATGAATTCTTTTACTGAGGAGGAAATATGAATAACAGAACGTCAGAATTGAACGATTTTTTAAAAAATAGTAAATAATGAAACAAAAAGCATTCACAATAAAAGGGTTTAAGTTTTTTTTTTAAAATATCTGTGATATAACAATAATTATATTTATTATTATCTAATATTCAAAATCTCAATGTTCTAGATCAAATGTCTTACTCATTAGTTCTGTTTGTGTCTTTTTTTAATAAATCACAGTTCAATCACGTGACTTGATCACATTTGCATTATCTCATAACAAAATAAAAATTCTGATTCTTACAAGTCCAGTCGCGAGGTTCCAAAACTTTTGTATCTGCGTTGATATCTTCCGGAACATAGCATCCTGTCTCTAATTGCATCTCTTCCGCCGGAAGTGGCCTCGTTAAATATTGCATAATGAACATATATATTATGCCTTGAATTTGTCTAGAAAAAATAATACCAAAATGCAATGAATTAAATTATTTTCATATAAAAAGTATTTGACTATAAATTCTGAGTGCAAATATTCTCTAAAGTATAGTGTCATAACATATGGTACTGTTGTAATTTAAGCGCAGTCGCATCTATCGGTCCTTTCCGTCAAACTTTTAAGAAAATATTAAGTTGAAATTAATTCTGATTATACAGTTTTTCATTCTGCTATTACCCTAGAAAATACCTTCAAGTAGAAATTTATTGCTAACTTTCTCATTTATTCAGTTATTTAACCGTTATCTTGCTTTTACGCTAGCCGTACAGACAAACCCTTGCTTTCTAACCCGTGCGACCAATGCAGTCCAAGACTTGCCGGCACATTTTTACCGTTTGATCATTGTCTGTACTGTTCCCTTTTTAATCAGAACATACTTTGAAAAAATTTCCTATAAATGAGAACGATTTTGTCCAGATTGAAGGATGGACAAGTGCATTTAAGACACTTTTAGCGTGGTTAGGACTAAACTTTAGGCTGTTAATGTAACATTGACACTGATTTTCAATACGTAGCCTTTTACAGTTTGTATCTATAGATTTTACATTACATTCATATATATTATATATTATGCAATTAAGATATTCCTTCTATTTATGAAATTAGAAAAAAAAACGTATGTACAAACTATAATTTTGGAATCAACTACCCTTGAAATCGTCTACTATTCAATAAACAGTTGGTCATGGTAGGCCTATAAAACATAAATAAAATATATATGAACGCGTTACTCTTCATAATGCGAACGTCAAACTTATAAATAATCATATAGGGGATAAGTTTACCCTCCTACTAAGCACAACCCGGATCCAGTTGCCGCGGCAACTGGGTATGTTACTTCAACTGCTAACTCAAATCCAATGGCATAAAGAGAAATCCCACAACCTCCAAATAGCGCCGTCATAATAGCAACCCAAACATGTTGGTCTCTAAGTCGTGAAACCTGTTTTAAAAATAGAATTAGAACACTTTCAAGTTATCTCACTATGAATATAATGACAAGGTGATGATCTATTCTTATCACATATTTACAGAAAACTTATGAAAAATGGTAATAGAAATTTGTAACTAACACATACTAAGTTTACTCGCTATATCTAAATATGTCGTTTCAATTAATACGAGTTATTTATACTTGCATGGCATTTTTACCAAGAAAGATATACAATCAAATAAGTACATTAACCATTATGGTGGCTGATTAATGTCATTTGTGTCGCATTCTGAAACTGGCTAAAATACGAAAAACAAGCCAAATTTTACAATTATTTATTCCGTCTTGTACTACGGAACTGTGTATTTACTACAAAGATAATTTGATCCTGCCAAAGAAATTATTCATTAATTGTACTGTGTTAAAATTGGTGACAATTCGTAATTTTAAGTATTGCCGGTGAATGTACACCTTTCATTTCGTCACCAAATACAAAAGCAAACTGGAGTTGTGTCTCTGAATTGTTTCCCAAATTTTAATAACACATTAATTAATATGCAGTCTCACCGGACTCGAACCAGGGACCCTTGAAATACCGTACCGCGGTTCTACCGACTGAGCTAACCGGCAGCTTACACATCATCTCCTCTTATAATAGTATACGGTTTTAAACCGTGAAACTTGATTAATATTCTCTGTTTTATTGAAAAGAGAATATGGGACGAAAATAGAAAAATGATAACAAATTAATTGGCGATTATTTAATGTGTCTAAAAACCCAAATACATTAGTTATATATTAATTGAGTTTGCATTAACATTTTACTAAGAACAACAACAGCAAACACAAAAAAAAACATTTGAAATTAATTTGTGGGACAACTGCGCACCTGAGTGAAGACAATAGCGAACAGTGCCGATAAACCGTACAATACTTTGAAAACTTCGTCAAAATGTTTAGTTTTGTCCACATATAAACTGACCGGCACCGCCATGATCATCCCGACTCCTAACATCAGTGATGCACATAACCCAGAAAATTCCTGATGAAATATTAAACATTTGAAATGAAAGCAATTACATGATTAAACGCATATACACTTATAAAAAAAGGCAAAAAAGGAATACAATTTCAAATTAGTTTCAAACGTATCTTAATCAATATTCCCAGAATAAAATAAACTTAAAAATGAAATTGTGTTTCATACAGACATGAACTAAACTTAAAAGAGAAAATATGCACAAAGTAATCCAGAATATATGTTACGCTAATATGATATTACTTACCTAAATTACGACTTTATGATATTTAAAATTCTGTTTATTTACTTTTTAGTTAGTGGAATGGGATGGGGGCAGTGATATTACGGTAAATCGACCATTTTATCGCATTTAGGTGATTCAACGGTAGTTATTGCATCAACTTGTTCCACCCGAAGTTAAATATGTTTTAGATAATATTTTAAAATTTCTTTCTTAACAGTGTATGCATTTAAAATTGCGTCTCAAGCAGTGCTTTCAGCGCTTTGATTGAATCTTACATCAGTGTATCCCCGTGGACATAAAATCTGTTCCATGAATGCTGTGACGGCTGTAAACAACGCTTGACCACCCCCAAATACCAGATTTAACACTATGTAATTCTTGTTAAATAGAATCTGAAATTTGTAAAATGATTTTGTTTGTTTAATAGTTTTTACGCCCATTTTTGAGTAAAAAAAATCATTTCACATTTAACAATAACAAGAAGTATCTTTCAAAAAGATACACGACCGAAGAAAAACTGGTTAACTTAAATATGTTAGTTCTTAGTTTTCCATTCAAAGTCATATAGAAATGTTAGCATAGCTTGCGTAAAGATGATTTCTTTTCTACAGGGTGATTGATCTTGAAAAAGATGTACTGCAGTATGTATTTCTAAACAAACCTGTCGTGTTTCGGTGAGTGAACTCAATTTCTATCACCAACATCTGCGCAGTCGGTTAGGCAATTACTTTTATAAACACGTGATTAATATGCAAAACTATACTCAGATCATGTGTAAAATAACTCAGCAAGTTTTCAGTTAAAATAAACTCTTCACTTTAAAATGTAGTGAAATTGAATGTTAAACATTCTATAGATCTCAATTTATCTAGAAAGTTAAAGAACTATCCTGTACATTTTATTTTAGAACCATCCTTAACATTTTATGTCATAACGGCAAGAGCTATCCTTTACATTTTTATTTTAAAATGGCTAATGAGATTTCCAAATTTAATTTCGTAATTTAAAAATGACCAATGAAAACTCTTCTTATATTCTGTTCTTCCCTGTAAAGTTTACAGGAAGTCAAACTAAAAAAAGACCGACCTTCGGTCGGGAATATGCTATTATTTTTTAATCTTTGGGTATTTTGGCTGCAATAAAAATTAATCTTAGATTCGTCTGTACATGCATTGGCCAGAATCTATACATCTCTGCTTCTCTGTTTTTCGGACGAAGTCCGTCTGTTATCGGTTTGACTTCCTGTAAACTTAACAGTGAAGAACTGAATACAAGAAGAATTTTCACTGGTCATTTTAAAGTTACGAACTGAAATCGGTGAATCTCATTGGTCGTTCTAAAATAAAATGTAAAGGACCGTTTTAACCATTCTAAAAAATGTAAAGGATAGTTCATACCGTTCTAAAATAATTTTTTAAGGATAGCTCTTTGATATGTCAATATAAAATGAAATGTAAAGGATAGTTCTAAAATAAAATGTACAGGAATGAGGATAGTTCTTTAACATTTAAATTAGTTTTTAAATGATTACAAAGTTTAAAAAGTCAAACGGAAAACATGTAAAAAGGACACCTTAAATAGTAGTTGTTTTTCTTTAAAAAAAATTACCAATATCAATATGCTTTAATTAAATTTCAATGTTTACAAAATGGGCATTTTCTTAATAGCTATCATGCCATTGTTATGCAAACATTACTTACATTAATTTTCTTTTTGTATTGAAAACTTATAATATAAATAACATACTTTTGTATGTTTAACAGTTATACTTCGGCCGAGTATCTTTTTAAAAGATATATCTTGGTTGAGATAATTTTGATACGAAAACATCTAAAATGGCAACGGATCAGAGCAGAACATATCTATCAACTAAAATATTTACATGCTAGTTTCAAAATTAAAACAAAATTGAATAAGCAGATGTATTTATCTTACTGTATATTTTCAAATTGAAACTAATGCGTTGGAAAAAAATGATTAGTCCGTTTACGAAAGGGCCACAAAAGCTTAAATTAAGATGTTGGATACAAATTGAAGTACAAATACTTGTACGTGTATGGCTTACATGTTTAAGTCCTGGCAAGAAAGGCGTGGAAATTGTGCCCGCGCTTGCAGACGGGGGAGTTGGTGGTCTTGAATCCCGTATCCCAAAAGTGGCAACGATAGTGATAAAAAATGCCAGTGCGGATGTTACCCATAGCTAAAAACAAAAGTATGAACTTACTGCAAACAGAATACACAAATGAAAATAATTAAATAAATTGGTATACTTAAAGTATATTGTTATATATTTATTGTTATATATGTCATATATTGTTGTATTAAGGGGCGCAATTATTTGAGCCGCGTCACGGCAAAACCAACATAATGGGTTTGCGACCAGCATGGATCCTGATCAGACTGCGCGGATGCGCAGGCTGGTCTGGATCCATGCTGGTCGCAAACCCATTATGTTGGTTTTGTCATGGCGCGGCTAATTTTATTGTCAAAGTATACATTTGATCCGGTGGAAGAGTGACAGCAACGCCGTGATGAACAAAAAATAACTATAGATTACAAAATTTTAGGACATAATAATTTGGTAAAAAATAATGAAAACGACATCATGCGATATGATCACGAAACAAAGACATCTAAAGCTCACTATTACATGCATCACTAATTTAGTGCTTCTTGACAGGTTATATATCCTACTTTAAATGATCATAAGATTATATACCAACATATGTTTCAACCTGGACATATAACCTGTCAAAATTCTTTATCAAGACCTTATAATTGCAAAATTGCGTTTTCGTGTTTATGAATATAAAAAACTATAAACGCCACGGTTCTTCAATGGAAATCTACACGTGCAAAAAACATTTCCGTAGACAATTACATATTCCAGGGATTTTTTATATAAAAAAAAAACAACCAAAAACAACTACAAGAACAAGAACAACAACAAAAAAAAAAACCCCAAAAAACTGACATATATCAAAATTAGTTTTTCCTTCCAAATATATGCATGCTTACCACAGCAGGGATGTCCGATGTATCGTCCACCATGAACGGAATGAATATAAATGCAACCATGTTTCCTAAAGGTTTCACTGAAAAAATTAAGAGCAAAACATGGAAGAAGAGAAAGACTCAGTAATCAGATTTTGGTATCACTATAGTTCTCACATCGTGGATTCGTGGAGTTTATATCGTGCATTCAATATGCTAAAATTATTTTAAATAGTTATTAAAGTCGAAATTATGAATTCATGAAGATTAATGGAGCATTCATACAGTTGAAGTGTCCCATCCGTCTTTCGATACATTCAGCCAGAGTTTTCCTGATAAAACATATAATGGTAAAGTAATTATCATCAAATCAGATGCAGCAGGTGATATATGTTTTGTACTCTGCTAAAATAGCTCATTTTCTGCTCACTATATAATCGCCAAATTTATCGACCGAGTTGTATTCCATACATTTTCGGCAACACAAAAATCTTTGTGATCTATACGTATGATTTATATTTTCATGCCAGAAATCGTCAATAACAATTACAAATACAATTGTTTTTGATGAGTTATATTTCGATAAAAATGCGATCTTGGTAGCTTTTGACAGATTTATTCCCTGAGAAATAGAATGTGAATGCTTTATCAGTTATTCATTTGGAGGCTTTTTCCTAAAGGAATGATCTAAAGTTATTGATCTTGTTCACATTTTGCTATTTAAGGTAACACAAATGGTAAAGAACTACTTTAATTTTTATGACATATCAAATCTTATAATTACTCATGCTTCCTATCATATTTGCGGTCGCTCGACGATGACAAGGGAACCAGATCGAGGCCATTTTTGTTGGCGCAAACATTACAAATGGTTGCGCGCAGGCTGCAAGAATCTGTCCACAGAGCAATATGACATATGAAAATTTCTTGGGCACTGTGTCAAAAGAACTAATGTTCCTAAGTAACGCACCCGCACTATTTAACCAAGTCGCTATCAGTAACTGAAATTAAATTAGTGCATCATAAGTTAAATACATATACATAAACGAGCATTAGATCTACGAATGGCTCTATTTCTGCGCAGGCGACATAGAAGACGGTTGAAAGGCAGATGAAGGTGATAACTATTTTGAATCATCTTAAGCATAACCGATGTTCCACTACATTTGTAAAACTAATATATCCTATTAATTGCTTTCGCAAAATTTTGTGGTTAAGTTGGTTTGTTTGTTTTTTGTTAAAGATTGCTATCATCAACATTATGGTTTATACCTAAACATATTAAAACCAATTTTATTTATGGTCTAGTTCTTTAATAGTTTATACGTAATGTAATGTATTGTCGAATTGGAAGTTGGATTTTGTGATGATGGTTAAGTCTATTGGAACGAAACGTGTAGGAAACACATACCTTGTTTATTGAACTTAATAGATTAAAATATCCTGTTTTACATGTATACCCATTACTACGATCAAATTAGACTTAACATTCGGAAGAAAACGTGTACATTCGTAAGGTTAACTTACACTTGTTCTGAGCCCTTGCGTGTCCAATACCCATGTAGCAACAAAGCCAAGTGGTATTGTTGCGATTAGGAAAGTCATTGACAACATATTCAGTTGAGACGAAGAAATGCCGTAGTAGGCGATGAAGGTGTCCGCAACAGGTGCAAAGGTCAACCACATCTGAAATATTTGCATTAGGCTTGTGAAATGATATTTTTAATTCTGTTACAGTTTTGGTCGTTTTTCACAATTAAAATTATCATTCTGGATAAACGGAAACAGCATTTGATCTGAAATTTGGCCCCTAAGCTGTTGGTCCAGCCTTCAAACTGCACATGAATCTCGAAAACATTTCCAGACCAATCATGTCGAGAAATGTCAGTGAGGTCCCTTTAAAGAATCGTATGCGGACAAAAAGATTTTACAAACTGCATGTATAAAAAGAAAGAAGAGCGTATATATACAATGAAACAATAAATATATAGATTCAGTTTAGATATCTATAACCATGTGACTGTGAAAGTATGGTAATTCAATGTGACAGTATGACAATATATGTATTAATATTTGGCAATGCCAAAGTCGCGTTTTATGGCTTCTTCATTTAGTTTATACGAGTTTATTTTAGTTCGATTGTGTTGGAAGCTATTAGCTTATTGGAGCACTCGTATCCGGTCCTGGAATTAACCATTGAGATTTTCTGCTATAGCAAAGCAATTAATTATCGCACTACCACCCTAGTTCTCAGCTTTTCTACTTAAAACCAATCAGGATCACTTTCATTTTTCGTCTCTACATGCGAATCGTATTTTTTATCAGCATGACCCAGATTGAATCGCGATTCGTCTGTAAACAGGATAGTTTCATTTTGCCTACACCACATTAGATTACGTCGAGCCCACACACACATGTGTTTGTGCGGTGCCACCTGGTTATGTCTTGTCCGAGATATGGCCACTGTATCTAACGGAAAGGACATTGCTACATATCCGATTACAACTTTATCCGGCGGACCTGGCCGTCACAGTAGATGGTAAACGACGTTGACGTATATGTTTCAACTCTAGCAATCTTTACGCGTGGTCTTCTTAGTCTATTTTACATCATCCGAAATCACGTACAACAACTCTTGTGGTCATGTCGCAATAATTAACCTGTCAGTTAGGAATTTTTACTCATAATTAGGAGAAATAAACCTTATTATAACTTTGTAACTAAATAAACTAAGTAAAAAGTTTTGAAAGCCTGCTAAGTATGGATTAGCTAGGAGAAATATAATATTATTAGGAGTTGAGAGATAAGATCTTAATTAGAACTTTGTAAGCCATAATATGGAGCTTATAGAGCCTAAATTTGAACTTTGTAACTTTTAATAAGGTTTTTATAAAAATAAAAATAAAAATTTCATTTCTCCTTAAAAGTCCTAAAAAGTTTTAAGACAATAAAACACAATAACACAGTAAGGTCATATTAATAGAATCTATCATTGAGTTAGATAGAGGAGTGATCCGAGGGTGATCGGTTCTATCGGGAACGAGCCTTGGCGATTTTCCAGCTTTATTGATGCAAGAAGACCTCTTGTGCCCCTCCGGGAACCGGAATAGAACCACCGACGGTCTGCGATATATGGATAGTTTACTCACATGTAAGAATACTAAGTGGTCCCCCGTTACTCGTTTCAGATTCGAAGTTAACCTATTCCTGTGTTACTGGATACAAACGGTGAATTTCACTCGGTAATAAAAAAAGTTCTTCACGTTAGTGCCATGGTATTAGAGATAGGGTAACCGATATATACTCCCATATGTAAATACATGTATAAAAGAGATATACAGCTAAAAAGGAAATTTTTTATGTTGCTGTACTCAAATTACATTAAAGATTTTGTTTAAAACTACATGTACACAACAACCAGACAAATTTGTTTTATTATAATACTTAATTTATATGTATACATATTTTGTTTTTGTTTTTATCATGCATAAAGCAGATTTAGTTTGCTCGTGCAATGAAAAAATACAAATAAAAAATGGTGTACAATGACATACATAATTGAATTTTATTCATGCAATCTCTTTTGAACATAAAACGATTTTAATTGACTGAAAATACTATTACTGAAAACGGCGATATCTCATACCGACATAATAATACATAAATATGTAGCTATTAGTGATCGATACCGATAAACAGGCAATGAAATAAACTAGGATGGGTAAATTTATTTTAACATAAAGTTTTGAGTTCATATGTTCTTAGTTACTTGGTAAACTGATAAATTGACTAAACATTATGTAAAGGCAAACCCACTCACAAATGAGTACATTTGTATTTCTTAACATGCGGAACTATATTAAATTATGTAAACTCAACGTGGCATGTTTCTGGTGTCTTAATTGTATTTGAACTTGGGAAATATCAAGTTTGCTCTTGTTAGCACAATCACAACATAAAAGTAAAATTGTTTCATGGATGTAATATATTTATTACACGTATCACTTTTCCAAATTTTATTGCTTTAGTTTTCATTGCACGTATAAGGAATAGTATCCTTAAAAGGAAAAGTAATAACCATAAGCAATATTATCACATAACCGTGCCTCTTTTGCGACTTCGTAAAAAACGGTATTGCACAGCCGTGCATATTTTGACGAAACGTCATTTGAGTTAGACAAACATAGGGTGTTAAGACGCCCTTAATGTTAGCGTTATACTATAAGCGTGCGTGTCAATAACGAAAATGGGAATTGTTTCAATGTAAACAGTTCTTATGTTGGTTATATGATAAATAGAATATCATATTCGTGTAGATTCAATACTGAATTTATTGAACTTGTTTAATAAAATAATATTATACAACTCGTTCAATCAATTCGAATCTACACTCCACACTTAATATATAGAAATTGAAAAATAAGGCATTATGTTGATAGTATTTTTTATTTGTCAAATCATGAATGAAAGACACTAATGTATATGTCATGTATATGACTGAGAAAAATCGAAAACATTATGTAAGAAAATAATGCTGATGTCACAATCACGCAATCATTTGGTTAATGTACACCCACATTGTTATTCCAATAGTACCAAAAAAATGAAATTCATACCGACATTCATTTATTTCAATTCAATATTGTCTTTCGAATTGGCAGTTCTTTTTTCAGTCAGAAGATAACGCTCCTCGTGCAAAAAATAACTAGTATACTTCTTTAATATTTCTAAATTATAATGGCATTACTGCTGTTTTAATACTGGAATGTCACAAAATGTATTTGAAAAGGATTTATCAAAAAATGATTGAATCTAGTCTAGTGTTAACTCGGTTAATGTTCAGAACAATGAACATATCGTCCTCGTTAAGTACATTGTAGCAATTAATATGTTGACACAAATTTAGTTTACTGTGTCACACTGCCTTGCCATTTTTTTCATTTCATATAGAGAACTGTATTTGCTTGATACTTTTATAATGTATATCATGAAAAATATTTTATCAATATTTATCGATAGTCCTAATTGATTTATATCTCAAAAACATTTGAAAACTGGGACAAAATTTGACATTGAGCGCTATAAATGGCTCATCCATGAATTGTGATGTTAAACGTGAAGGTACCTCAAAACATGTGTTTATATTCTTACTTATCAACTAAATGATAAACTTTTTTTAAAGCCGAAAAAAAAAAAACTTAGGTAAAATTGTCTGAGAATATTGCGTTGACCGTTATCATACACGATGTGGTACATGTATAGATAGATCTAAGGCAGCATATCCATATAGGCTACATACTGGTGGTTCAGTTTATAATTTCATCTTGGCAGTTAATTTTAAAAAAAAACATTCAAGAAATTCGGCAGGCTAAGGAAAAATAAATCAATTAATGAAACTCGTACTTACGATAGCATTTGACAAGTTGAGAAAACTCACAACAAAAAGCATCAGCCATCTTGAACGGTATACCTTATATTCAATCATCACATTGTCTTTCACATTATTGTTCACATTATCTTTCACATTAACTCCTGTTACAGACCCGTTTTCTGATCTTCCTGTGCTACATATCACATTTATGTTAACTTTCTCAGGTTCCTTCAAACTCGACATCATTAATAAATTCTATGACAAACACCCGGACATATGATTATACAAAACCCTCTTTCAATCAATTAAAACAACCGTTTATATAGATCAATTGATTAGAAGTCGAATATACGGTCAAACAAAACCCTTAAATCGAATAGCAATTCATTAAAAACCGAATATTTGGTTAATCACTTCATTAAAAGCACCCGCATGTAAAAGAATCATAAAAATATCCAAATATATTGTTATAAAACCACACTCAATTCATTAAAACACCAATATATTTTGTCATAACAACTTCCATATAAATTTATTAAAATACTAGAATACATTGAATTTTCAATTTGTTATTATATGTCAATGAGCACTAGTACTAGTTTCCTGTAAAACTATTTTCATTTGTGATGTGCAGTGATAACTAGATAACTAGCGCAATGCTCGAATGAGTTAAACTTGTTACTTCTGTTATACATTACTTTAAAAGAAGATGAAATACTGATTTGATCAAATAAACTGCTACTATAATTGCCCATACTCAGACGGCGATGACTATTTGTGACCCTAACACATTAAGATGCCTATCAAAATGTACTTTTTATAAAAATGCAGTTGCCCATGCATAGAAAATATTTATGATAACGTGTATATTAAACATATTTATACTTCATAAATAAATGACATTCGACATTGGTCATATCCGCAGTTTGAATTCAGATTTTTCCTCAAACAGACTTGAGTGTTTTAATTCACACGGGACATCTCAAGTGGTACCCTCGTTTTTTCCCGTCACGACTTCGTGATAATTCAGCATTTCTCCTCAGGCTAAATTACTGTTCTTGTCATGCAGTGTGCACACATTTTCATGTTCATTTATTTATCGCCGATTACTTACAAACATAAACGGAAGATCGGCGGAAAGTGCCGACATGTTGCGACTGCACTTGTACTTGAAAGCATGATACCACTCAGTACCAATGTTATCATTTTCTTACATTGAAACATTGGTGAAAATGGAGGAATTATGTTATCAACCTTAATCATCAAAGTTTAATTTAGCGAGCAAACTCTCTTTTTAAAGATGAAAATTACCATTTTTGACGAGTATTTCTTCGGTATATACAAAAGTTTTCCAACGAACTCCATGACAGTTATCAACAGAACTCAAACCCGCCGTGTAACAGTTCCTCCACATGTCTGACAGGTTATATGGCTCTATATACGGTAATGGTTGTAAAGTTACCGGTGAGGGTTATATTGCAAATAACCGTTTATATACGACCATATATAACAGGTCAGACATCTTTTCAAACGAATTAATAATAAAGCAGAATTACTTTCTTCTTCTTCTACTTTCTATACGACATTACGGGTTTTTATGAACGAGTTTTATTGTTTTTACTCGATGGTTACGGCTCGTGAAACTATATGAAATTTTATCATATCTCCTGAAAATATATTTCATATTTCACTCATACCAAAAAATATCCGCCAACCAGGGCATATTTATGTCAGTCTCATTGACACATAGGAGGTTGTTCAATTTTAAATGTCTTTTATTAAGAGGTTAATACACGGCAGGAGAGGGCCGGAAGGTGATAATCGGCCCGCAAAATGAATAATGGACCCGAGGGCTTTAGCCCGAGGGCCATTATTCATTCAGGGCCGATTATCACCTTCCGGCCCTACTCTGACGTGTATTAATGTCTTTAATACACTTGGTAGATCTAATAGTAGCATTAAAAAAAAACAACAAACAAACAAACAAAAAAAACCCCAAAAACAAATAGAAGTTCTTTCGTGGAAATTCTTGTCTACAGTACTCTTCTTCTGTTCTGTACTGTACAGAGATGTTTAAGAGTCTACAGTAGAGATCTACTGTTTGTGTGATCTAGAAGCAAGTTTTATTTTAATTTTTTTTTCGGAATGAATTTGTCGTATTATTTCTTCAAATTTCAATAGTAACAAAAATGTGTTTGTACTAAATACGCTTAAGCTCTCATAATAAAAATAAAGCGATTCGTGCTGTCAACCTACTTTCACTTTTACAGTTAACTGTTTGATGACGTAAAATATGACGTCATTGTTTCAGTTTGTGAACGTGCACATGTTCTGCGGGCTGATAACTAGTTCTCGGCCCCGGGCCGCAAACTCATAATAGGTCACGTGACACTCATAATAAGTTGAAATCATAGGCAATTTTGTTACTATATATAGTAACAAGTGTATTAAGATTCTTATCAACACTTTTTGGTCTAGGTGCTATTCATTTAAAATGCTTAGTAGCAATTCGAAATTATGTAATATACAGGATACAATTTCCATTGGATTATTTTCATCAAGATAAAGAATCATGTTATACTGGCAATGGAATTTGCTTTTATCATTATATTTTAAAACATTCATACTATTGTTTTGCTACACTTGTCACTGCTATAAGTAACATACATTTAAACGACTGAAATGTATCGTTAATTTCTAATAATGTCAATATACACACCTCTGTGATATGTATTTTATTAAGTTTATTAAACCACTTGAAATTTCAACCGGTCTTAAAATGCAATAACTAATAATTGCTTTTAACACTTATAATCCCTCATTGATTCCAGTACTTTTAATTGTTGAAAATTGAATACCGCTCACCGAACTAGGGGCGTGGGGGGATATTTCATTTCAGTATCCCTCCTGTACAATCAAACCCAGTCTGCAATTTTTATGTAATTTTGTTGTGATTATAGATTCTGAGGGCCACCCCTCTGCACTACTTTTCTGCGAATTTTGCATAAGTTTCAACGGCACCAAACTATTAGAAACGGAATACAGGATTTTACTGCAAAAGCTAAAAATTATGACATGTGAAATGAATTCAATTACATATCACCTCCCCGCCCAATGCCAAATGTCTTATCAAAGCCATTAATAGTGATTGTAATTAAAAGCCAGATGAATTAAGCACACAAAAAACACACACACACTGGCAGTAACAAAAGTTATCATAAGAACTCCAGGACATATTTTGAGTTATCACAAGAACTCCGTGACATTTGAAAAATCGGGTATAAATTTATAAGCCTTGGCTTTATGTTTGCAACTCTCCATTATAATTAGGTAATTAGGTATAGCAACAAGATGCTTACAAATGAAACTGTCAATATGTATAAATGAGCAACTAATTTGGAAATTTTACTCAAAACTACAAGATTTTTTTTTTTAAAAAGGCGATGAAAAATGGATTAAAAGGTTTTTCTGAAACATAAAACAATATGTAGGGCAAGCTTAATTATTAATGTTTAATATTGGCATCTCAAACTTCCCATTTAAAGGTAAAAATAGCCATTTTTCACTTGAGTTCTCCAAGTATATAGCAAAAATTTTCCACATAAATCCGTAACGTTTTCCAGGAACTCCGTGACATTTCGATGGCATAGTGCTATAAGGGGATAAGTGAAAAATGACAGTTTTGAGATAATCAAGAAAAACTGTCTGCTGCTTTTATTTGTTATCATTTTTAAAAATGACTTTGCATGCTTGTAAACGAGTAATGTTAGAAGCATTATAATAATTTTTACCTATTGTGTGGTCGTTTGTTAGTTCAAAAATCATTTAATAATTACTTAACACCTTATAACATTTGCTGAAATGACAAGTTGCATTTCGGTAAAAGGCGTTATCTGCCACTTCACTCCTTTTAGAATAAACAATGTAACCATATCATAAGTCAACATACAGTGACAACTGCCACTTACCACCTGACTTTCTATTACTTTTGAAATCAAATGATCAAATAAATTTTATAAGTCTCAGTGTTTAACAATATTTCGGTTGTTTTCTAACATACATGTATATGCCGACATGCAACTTTCAACTTCTCGACTTAAAATTATTGAAAAAGTGATTGAGTCCAAAATGATAACAAACTAGTTCAAAGGTATTTTTTATATCCTATTTTGGCATAGCTGAAGGAAAAATAATGCACAATGACACCAAGTTTTAAAATTAAATTTATTTCATTTCAAAACCTTTAACATAAATTTGTGACATGTGCTTATATTAGCATCATGTATTAACATTAAAACAAGTAATTCATTACCTTCGTGAACAAGAACAATTAAAAAGAAACAGGATAACAAATTGTAATCAATTAATTGTCCACAATCTCAAGTTTGAAACACAATTCATGTTATAGTTCATATTCATAATAATGTTATTCATGATGTATTAAAAACAACTTAGAAGTGTATTTATATAAGTGTTTATGCTGATAAATGAAAGTATTTCATTATGTTTGCATGATTTCGTAGTTCATGCTGTGTTCATTATTACAATGCCAATGGACCGTTTCCTTACAATTAAATCATTTTGAAAAAAAAAAATCAAATCTTTATACTGAGTTATAGTTCAACATTCATCTGATCCATGGTCTTCTCTGTGGGGTAGACTACCATAAAATGAATGGTATCTTGGCGGTATTATTTGCCTTTGGCACAAACTCAACAAATCGTCATATTTTTTTTTTCGATATACATATCTGACTATCATATGCATTCTTTAAAATATAGCCCTCAATTGTTCTCATTTTTCTTCTCAAATTAGGCCGTGCAATTTCAATGAATTTGAATTCAGTATTAACTTCATACTTGTAGTAAATTCTGTTTGGCTCAGATTTACGGTATTCAAATACGTGTACCTTTGTCCACTGAAGTGTTGAACCATCTGCTGCCTTGCTTCTATTAGCCACAGTATGATCTGCCAAATCCTTAAAATCTTTTATATCAGATGTAGCCACTTCAATTACTTTATATCTTGGCTCACTGGCTTTGCTATTCGACACAGCTGACATCCAATCCGTAGGACCAAACATATCATGCTTTTTCGTAGCTTTTTCGATAGTGGCATGTACAGAGTCTCCCTCCATTTGCGAATGTCCACGTTCAAAAAAATTGTGAGTGATTGTGTTAATAGGCATATTCTGTACACAATATAAACACATACTGGAGAAAGGAAGATTTCTGTTCTGTCCAGAACAGCTGTCGGAGTAGTATATCAAATGATCAACAGCTCCAAGACTTTCATTGAATTTGTATATACATGAAGATATATCATTGCTTCCTCGCTTATCAACTGATTCATACCACATGTAACATGATGCATGCTTTGAGACTATGTCAAATACAGTAAAATTATATGTAGCTAACTTCCGGCTGTAGTAAACTTCACCTATTTCTGTTTTGGGTGAAATCAAAACTTTTTGAAGATCAAAATTTATTACACGTGTATTTGTATCTTCCAAGGCCTTTTCTTTGTCATTCTGTTTCTGTTGTCGAATTTGCTCTTTTCTTTGTTGATGTTCAAGGTATTCACTCTCTCTTTCTTTCTTTTTTGCATCATCAAGACATTTATACACTTCACAAAAGGTGCATAAGTCTTTTTTGGGGTGATGAAAACCAAGATTGAATTCCTTATTGAATATAGAGTTATACAGCCAGAGCTTCTCAGGAATTGTGTTGCTTTTCTCACACTCTTCCACATACATTCTATACATTTTATTTACTAACAAGCCCTTTTCAAGATATTGCCTCTCGGTATCCCTTCGGCAGTAATGTGAATCTACTCTCTGAAATTTGTCTATGTGTTTCCGTATTCCATCTCTGGCTGATTTGGAAACTTCAATCTTTTTATGCCGACCCCTTCTATCTGTAGTGTCATATATCTTGTCTCTATTCATCGTGTACTCGATCACCTTTGGTCCAACATCTAAAATATTCATGAAGCTACTTTTACAAATTTGAATCAAATCATCACTATCATCATTGAGCGGAAGAAAATATTCATAAGTTAATTTCCTTCTAGATTCATCATTAGATGTTGTTCGCCGTTTTTTACTTATAACTTTTATATGATGTGATATAAAGTTTCGTTAAGTCTCATATGACAAGTTCCAGTAATGGTTGAATATTTCCTCCCTTCTTTCTTTTTTTTAT